TCTTGTTGAGCCAGTGCATATACTCTAGTTTGTACACTCCGACTAAAGTTGATCCTAATGGCTCAATTAGCCTCTTTCTCCCAAAAGTCCTTTGAGGAGATGAAGCAGTAACTCTGGTATCAACATGGGGTCTCTGGCCCAAGGTGGTGGAGCTATCCATGTGTCCTAGTTACCAAAAATAGGTATTACTGCCTGACAAACATTCTCCTCTGTGTGCATTTCCACTCTTGACGTAGGTCATGGCATTGCCGATGCTTCCAGTACTGCTACCACTATTGTTGGGTTGAGGGTTCATGTTGGACTTGACAATATTTTGAGCAAATAGACTGAATGTCTTTTCCTTTGCTTTCATTCCAATAAATAGTAGTTTGTAAAATCTATTTTAGGTACATAATATTCAGTATATTCTAAATTAAGTAACTTAATTAATACATAATCATAATCTAAATAATTAACAAAAAGGAAAGAATCCGTGTAAATATAATATTTCCCTCTTTGCAGTATTACGAAGAAGGAAACTCTTTATTCTGTCTGATTTCTTTTATTCCGGATTGATATCCCCCTTCAAATTGATGCAAACTGGTCAAGAAACATCAATTTGCTGACAAGAGACTGATGACGATGTCGAGAAAGAGGTTTAGTAAATATATCAGTTGTTTGAAGATCAGAAGGGATATGAGGAAGAGATATAACACCCTCCTCAATGAGATATAACACCCTCCTCATAGGCTTCTCGAATGGAATGACAGTCCACTTCAATGTGTTTCATGTGTTCATGAAAAATGAGATTAGCAGCAATCTGGATAGCATTAGTATTATCTGCATGAAACGAGATTAGCAGCAATCTGGATAGCATAGTATTATCTGCATGAAGAGAAGTAGACTCAAGCTGAGGAAAATCAAGCTCAGCCAGCATGCCACGAAGCCAAATGATTTCAGAACAAGCAGGGGACATAGCGCGATATTCTGATTCAGTGGATGACTTAGATACTCGATATTGTTTCTTGCTCTTCCAAGAGATTAAAGAGTTGCCGAGAAACATGCACCATCCAGTAATAGATCGGCGTGTATCAGAACAACTAGCCCAATCAACATCACTATAGGTTGTTAAGGTGATAGGAGACTCCGCAGAAAAGAACAAATCATGATAAGTACCTTTCAAATATCGAATAATATGTCGAACTGCAGCTAAATGAAGATGTGTAGGGGCTTGCATAAATTAACTAACTTGTTGCACAACAAATAAAATATCAGGACGCGTAATAGTCAGATAATTGAGACTGTCAATCAGTTGTCTATATAGAGATGATTCAGATAGAAAGTCACAATCATTCTATTGATATTTGACATTTACTTCCAAAGGAGTATCAGTGGAGCGACCATCTTGAAGACTAGTCAAAGCAATGAGTCCCTTCGTATAGTTGTGCTGACGAAGAAAAATACCGGCGACAGAAGATTGAATCTCGAGTCCTAAGAAATAAGTTAATGACCCTAAATCTTTCATATGAAAAGATCCCTGAAGACTTTTCTGTAGTTGAGACATCAATTGATTATCAGATCCTATGATGACAATATCATCAACATATACTAATAACAAAACAATTCCCTTGTCAGTTTTGCAAAGAAATAATGATGAATCATACTGAATTTGAATAAAAGAAGAGTATTGCGAAACTTTTCAAACCAGACCCGTGGAGCCTGTTTCAAACCATATAGGGACCTTTTGAGCTTACAAATATCATGTGAAGGTGTAGAAAATAAGCCTGGAGGAAGAGTCATATAGACGTCTTCTTTGAGATCCCCATGTAAGAATGCATTCTTAACATCCATCTGCTTTAAGAACCGGCCTTTAGATGCAAATAACACTAGTCGGACATTTGTCATCTTAGCCACAGGTGCAAATGTTTCGTCATAATCAATCCCGTATTCCTCCTGTCGATTGCCAAGAGCTACCAATCTTGCTTTATATCGATCAAGAGAGCAATCATATCGAAGTTTAAGAGAATAAACCCATTTACATCCAATGGGTTTAACACCTGTAGGACATGAAACAATATCCCAAGTGTGATTATCTTGAAGTGTCTGAAGTTCCTCTTTCATGGCTTTGACCCAACAAGTCTTTTTAGCAGCTTGAAAGTAAGAAGTAGGAACAGTAACATTAGTTAAAATTGCAAAATACCCATATCTATCTGGAGGACGGATACGTCGGGTTGATCGTCGAATACTTATTGGAGCAATTTTTGGATCAGGGTTGGGGACGTTTGAAGGTGAAGGGGGCAGACGTCGTGTGTAGACTATGTCTGGCTTGAAGCTTTTATCAGCAGAAGTGGAAGTATAACTGTATCTGATGTGGACACATGATGCTGAAAGTAATATTCATGTTCAAAGAAAATCACATTTCGAGAAATATGCCATTGACAATTAATCGAATCATAACACACAATCCTTTACGATTAGGACTGTACCCCATAAAGGCACATCGTACTGAATTAATCGAATCATAACACAATTTTTTATGGTTAGGACTGTACCCCATAAAGGCACATCGTACTGACTGAGCTGTCAATTTATGATGTTCATGAGCAGGTAGATGAACAAAACAGACACATCTGAAAGTATGTAGCGTATAATAATTAGGGTGTTTATGAAAAACACGATAGTAGGGAGGCTCATATTTCAATTGTTGAGATGGTAAACGATTAATGAGATAAACTGTAGTAGATAAAGCTTCAGTCCAAAATCTAGCTGGAACAGAAAATTCTATCAGTAATGTGCGCATAGTATCCAATAGATGTCGATTTTTTCTTCAGCAACTCCAGTTTGCTGCGATGTATAGGGACATGAACGTTGTGAAACAATCACTTTGTTCTGGAGAAATGCTTGAAACTCATGAGACATGTATTCACCGCCATTGTCAAATCGTAATATTTAATGCGAGTGGAGAATTGAGTTTCAACATATGCTAAAAATGTTTGGAATACAATAAATACTTCTGTTTTGACACGTAAAAAATAGATCCAAGTCAATCGACTGTAATCATCAATAAATGTCACAAAATATCTATATTGAGCATGTGAAACAACTGGTGTAATTCTCCAAACATCACTATGAATAATGTTAAAACATTTATTGGCATGACAGCCTGAACTAGGAAAAGGTAATATCTTGTTTTTTCCAAGTTTACAAACAGAACAGTTAACTATTAAATTCTTATCTGTAGAATAAAAAATGCCATTTTTATGTAAATGCTTCCACACCATATCATTTGTGCCTGAACTAGGAAAAGTTAATATCTTGCTTTTTCCAAGTTTACAAACATAACAATTAACTATTAAATTTTTATCTGTAGAATAAAAAATGTCATTTTTATGTAAATGCTTCCACACCATATCATTTGGAGTCTTTTATGCCAGACGTGTGCCTTATTTTCAACAACTGAAGATGCTAATGAAATATTCTGAAAAATAGTAAATTTCAATGGAAGTAGTCAACCAACTTTAGCCCCTTTCGCTATCACCTTCCCCGACACCTGATCCTGCACAATACAACCATCACGAGAAAAATGTACTTTACAATTTGACAAACAAAGAGTAAGTTAGTAGATAATTTAGGAGAAATCAAAACATGTTTTATGTTTGATGGATGAGTTAATATCACCAACTGTCGTAATTGGAATATTATTCCCATTAACAACCTGAATATGTTGAGTATCAGTGTATGGTCGTTGGTTATGTAATAGCTTAGCAGTGCTAGTCATATGATTTGTGGCCCTTGAATCAACAAACCAAGGAGAAGTAACCGAAGAAATAATTTTACCTTTCCCTTGAAGGCTGATATAAAATGCAGAGAGAACTATCTGTTGAACCATATAGGGTGTGACAGTTGATTGATTATTATCAGCAACACTAGTAGTCAAGGCAGGATTGTCGGATACCGTGGCATGAAGTGATTGTGGTTTGTGATTTTGGGTCGTGTTGGGCATTCCGTAAGAGTATGACTCTTTTGCTTATAATAATTACATTCCTTATTTTCACAATTCCGTGTTATATGACCAAATTTCTTGCAGTTGTAGCACTGCACTGACCCCTTCGCTTTAGTCTTAGCAGCATATGCCACATTAATTATTTATGATGATCCACCTGCTGTACTGATAGTATATTGTGTCGCCAATCTTTGTTCTTCGCGCAATAATTGCCCAAAACAAACATCCAAACACGGAATCAGATCTCTGTTCAACAACCCAACTCGAGCAATCTCAAATTCAGGTCTCAGTTTCATTAAAAACTGATCACGACGACTTTCTTCATGAATAGCTTGAAGACTAGCTAAGTTCTCTTTTGACACTTTAACATAGATAATACCAGTATATTCACTCTATAAATTTAAAAATCCAGAATAATATTGTTCAATTGAAAGATTACTCCGACTATAATTATTCATGTCAAGTTTCAATTGGAAGCGTTTCGCAGAATTATCATGATTATAAACGCGCTTCAAATATTCTCACATTTCTTTTGCTGTGCTAAATGATCGTAAATTGTTTACCATATGAGCCTCAATTGATCCCAAAATCCAGGAAATAATTCGATCATCCTTTGCTTCCCATTGACCAAGATCTTTTGTCTCAGTAGGAGCTGAGGAAGATCCATCAATATGACCCCAAAACTTCTTCCCTTTTAAGAACATTCTGAGCTGAAATTCCCATGCGGCATAATTCTTTCCCGTAAATCTGACAGCTAAGATTTCAGAAGACATTTTAAATATATTAATCTCGATCAAAATATCCAAGATAAATAAAATTCAAAGGCTAGGGTCGAAGATCGAAGAGTGGTGATCGTGACAAGCCGTGAAGTTTGAATAGGTCGCGATCGAGACGATCGAAAGCAGTGGATCGCGCAAATCACGGCAGTTTGCTGTAGTAGCGGATCACGACAGTTTTGGAACGAGTCACAAATACGGCAGTTTTGGAACAAGCGGATCACGGCAGTTTGCTGTAGTAGCGGCAGATTGCGGCAGTAGCGTCAGATCGCAGCAGCGGCAGGAGCGAACAAGATGCACCAGAATATCGCGACAGAACGAGCGACGATCGCGGGAAGCGAGCAGATTGCGGCGGATCGCACTGGAACGAGCAATTTGATCGCGGCAGGGGCGAACTAGATGCCGCACCAGAGATCGCGCAGGAGGAGCGAGCGAATGAAATGAGCAGATCGCGGCAGAACGAAGTTTCAGAAGATGTGGGACGAAGATGTCGTGGAACACAACACCAGAGGTTCGATCGAAGGAGCAGCGACAGAACTCAAACAAAGCGGACAAAGATGCCGCAGAACTCAAAGACAAGAACGAGCGCTCCAGTGAGGAAGCAATCGAAGATGCCAGCCAAAGATAACAAATCTAAAATTTGAAGGATTCAGGCTCTGATACCATGACAATATTTTGAGCAAATAGGCTGAATGTCTTTTTCTTTGCTTTCATTCCAATAAATAGTAGTTTGTACAATCTATTTTAGGTACATAATATTCAGTATTTTCTAAATTAATTAACTTAATTAATACATAATCATAATCTAAATAATTAGCAAAAAGCGGAAAGAATCTGTGTAAATATAATATTTCTCTCTTTGCAGTATTGCGAAGAAGAAAACTCTTTATTCTATCTGATTTCTTTTATTTCTGATTGATAGGACTGCCTAGTTGGACCAACTGGGTTGCTTGCCCTGTTCTGGATCTATCATCTCCTTTTCTTTTGAAAATTATTACGTAACCAACAGATCAATCTATATTCTTCTTGCTCTTTCCACTAGAATTGAGCAATACATAATGCCCAAAGGGATTAAAAGCTGTCTGATCACATCCTTCAATCCAAATAGAAAACAGTGGCACTTTTCTTCACCATTGGAAATTGACATAGGTACGTATTGAGATAACATCATAAACTCAGTCTCGTTCTGCATGTTTGAACGACCGTTCTGCACGAGCCTGATGAATCGATTATGCATCTGCCTCGTGGCTGAGAGAGGAACAAACTAATCACGTAAAGTTCTCACAAAATCCTCCCACTAAATCTGGCTGTTGGGTCATTTTCCAAATTTCTTCTGTAGCTATCTCTGTCATCTCCTCCCTACTTCCCCCTTGAAAGGAAAAGTGTCCAATGTGATTTTCTCTATCCTTGACAAACTATTCTCTGCCTCAACTATCTCTTTTGTTTTTGAAAATAGTGGTAGCATGTACTGCAACATCTTTAGCTATTTATCCATCTATGCCATTTCACTAATATTTGCCGGGGTCTGAGAATCCTGAATCAGTCGTGCACCGCGCCCCTAGTAAATACCTCCATAAGGATGCTAGTACTACTAGTTGGAGGATCAATAAATGTTGGAGTCACCATATTCTGCTGATCAGTAGCTCTTACTTCTCTATTCTTCTCATTAGTATCATCCAAATCAATATCTGAGATATCAAAATTTTTTAATTGTTAACATAAACATTAGAATTAATTTATAACTTTTTTTAATGATCATTAATGATTTTTTGAATGGCTCTTTTATGATCACTTTCCTTCTGCCCTTGGATGGGTTCTAATACCATTCTTATCACGATCTAGCTTGTGAGCTTGAGCTTGGAATTGCCAAGACGAGAACCGTTGGTCGGACGGAGGAAAACAATCTAATAGTATCATTTCATAATTAAACTGTGAGCTTGAAATTGCCAATACGAGAACCGTTGGTCGGACGAAGGAAAACAATCTAATAGTATCATTTCATAATTAAAATAAAATTCAAAATACAAAACAATCATTCTATTTTATAAAACTTGTATAATAGCTAATTCATATTAAAACATTTACATTAATAGAAAATAAATATTTTTCATTCGACACTCCTCGGTCCCTGTACACGTATTCTCTGGGGTCTATCATTCTGCACTCCTCGGCGTTGGTACACGTAATCTCTTTTATGATCACTTTCCTTCCGCTTTTGGATGGGTTTTGATACCACTCTTGTCACAATCCGACCTAAGAGCTTGGAATTACCAATGCGGGAACTGTCGGCTGGACGGAGGCAAATTATTTAATAGTATCATTTTATAATTAAACTAAAATTCAAAATACAAAAGTCATTTTATTTTATAAAACTTATATTTACAAAAATTTATTCATATTAAAATATTTAATTCTAACAGAAAATAAAGTTGAATTATAATATCTATCATTCTGCACTTGAGGCCTATACACGTACTCTCTGGGATATATCTAACTTAAAGTTGATTTTCCTGTAAAATTGTAGAAAATAAATATTGAGTTAAAATTATTCAGTGGACTAATATTTTTAAATTGTAATAATTCTCTTTTTAAATATTTTGCAAAAAATGTAATAACAGTAAAACTCTGTTTGGCGCAGCTGCACCTGTGCTGTTTCAAGAAGCTGTTGTGGGGAAGCTCTGCGGAGAATTTGTTGCAGCTGTGTAAAAACAGCTGTGGACAACTGTTTCTGGAAAAATGACAATTCTGCCCCAGTTTAGTTAAACAGTTTGGAACAAGAATAATGACAACTTTATATATGATACAACAAAAACAGAAATCCACTTTACAAGTTAAAAATGTAAAAAATAGACATCTACAATTTTTAGCCAATCCCAGAAGCCATAAATTTGATAATTTTAAGGAAAAATTTCAAATAAAAACAATGCAGAATTACATGCAAGTAGTCCATGTTTCACAAAAAAAAAACAAGCATATGCTGCACCCAAAAAAAGATGATTTACATACATACAACCCAATTATTAAGTATTTACATATCTAACAATAACTTTACTTTTTTCGTTTATACCACCCAAATCTTTCATATTACATAAAAAAATACCACTATTTTAACTGTTATAAAGTGAAATACAAATTTTCATGAAAATGTAAGGCAGTATATTTTTAACTGTTATAAAGTTAAGGCAGTATATATGGTAAAATTGAACTTTGGGTGTTAGCAATTTTTACATAAATAAAATGACAGCATTCTTTGGGTCTTATAAATGTGAAACATAAAGATTTTCAAGCACAATCACATCTAAGTCAGAAATGACAATGTTCGGTAGGCTTTCAAATAAATTGGAACATTTGCATCATAACCATCCAATTCCTATGTTTTTACATATGTAATCCTATACTTCACCTTATACCTTTATACCACCCAAATCTTTATATAGCCAACCAAATCTTTTGAGTTAATATGTACAGAAAGTGTGCTAAGCTTGGATTGAGTTAAAGAAGGCAAGCAGTGATTCTAATGAATTAAAGCATTGCTTGACATGTACATTGCTCGTAGTAGTTACCATATATTTCATACCTATGTCAAACATTCAAATCACCAACTGCAAAAGCTTATAGCATTCAGGAATAAATGGCACCAATTGTTACTGTCGCGCTCTGCATTCCTGGAAGAGGATCAAACGCCAAAATAGATTTTCAAACAGATTCACACATTTTGTTTACAAAATTTCTTGGTTTTATGTAGTTTCAAGAAGAAAAAATTAAAATGGAATAATTATAGTTCGGTTTAACTCCCCAAATTATCAGACTAGTGCATTTTTAAAGGAAACAAGCTAAAATTCCAAACATCAGAAAATTTATAATTTGTGTCAAAAGTTCAATCTAATCATATGTATTTACATATCTAACACCTAAACTTTAAAATTGACATATATATAAGTATCAATAAGTTCAATCTAATCAAGCTAGTTTATATCAAATAAAAAGCTTCAGCTTTATATCAACTTCCATATGATTTATATCAACTTCCATATCAAAATAAGATAAGTTTCATATAAGAATTATGAGAAGCAGATTGAAGTTACTCAAAATAAGATACTTATGGTGATGTAAATAAGAAAAATAAGCAATCAATAAAATAATTCTTAAATCTTAGGATAAGGAAACAGGGACATATATAAATAAGAAGGTGAATTCTAAATCTTATAAAGAAAAAGAATTCTAAATTCCAGCGAACAAGCTAAATTTACATACATAACACATAATTGGTATGTATAATGCAAAATACTTCTTTTGCTTTCACTCATTTCAATTGTGAAAACAAAAATATTACACTTGAGGGTGCCTTGTAAATACTTGCTTTCACTCATTTCAACTGTGAAAACAAAAATATTACACTTGAGGGTGCCTTGAGAAGATTCAGGTAGTGTAAAATCAATATTAATACATGAATATTTCCAACCAATGATTAATCTAATAAACTTTATCGTTATTAAAACATATTTTCTAACTTCAAGCAACCAAATGAGCCTTAAAGGGCCGGCCTATAAACAAATTCCAGAATTTTTTTTTCCAAGACAAACTTTCGATTGTTTTACAAGACTTTTAATTTTCTAATTCGCAGAATCCTCCGCAACAAAATTATCAGCACATGCAGATAAGCCCAAACATTCACCACCCACCGACCAAAATCTGACAGAAGACAGTAAACCCCCCACTTCCAGCTCGGTAATTGAAATCCCTAACACGCCTTATGCAGACAAGGCCACCGATATCCAAACTTCAAGATCCATTATCAAAATTCTGAAAATATTAGGTAATGCGATTGAGATTTTGAGTAGATCTGTACCATCTCTCTTGACGGTCTTGCACCGGACGACGCCCAAGAACATAAAAGAGCAGCAGATGATAGCCAAGGCCGACAACCTTGCCATGGTAGACGTATGGATCTTTGACGCCTTGGTAAATCAAAGCTCTCGACTGACAAGCTCAACAACGAAGAGCAGGTGTAGAAGGAGAATCAAAAGTTCTTCAACTGGGAAGAATAGGTGCAGAAGGAGAATCGAAAGCTGTTGGGGAAAACCCAAAAAATCATTGAGGGATCGAATGGGGGGTTGCAAGAGTAAAAATCGAAGGGGTAATGCTGGCTGCGGGGTCTCTCACCCGCGACCAGCTTTTCGCTCAGATTCACGGCTGCCACGAGTGAAAAGTCGTGCCAAACGACGCTAAACTGTGGCCTCTTGCCGCACTGTGCAGATAAAGCTGGGCCAAACGCAACCTAAAAATGCATAAAAGAAAATAATTTCGTTTACTTTCATATAATTTTTTTCACACTTTTCATTTGAGAGTCACTGTCTAAATTTATACATTAAAAGAAAGACACGTTCAATTTTTTCCAACTCACCATAAAGATAGGCAACCATTTCTATTCTCAATTCCATTTCTATATCTATTCATGAGTATATTGCATTTTCCTGCCAGTACCATTCATAAATGATTCCCATATGCAAGAATATATTATATTTTATTACTTTTCATGCATTTAACATTTAAAATATTAAATCAAATTGACTTGACACATCATAAACTAATCAAACACATTTGCATGAACTTGATGAATCTAGCATTTGTGTTTTGATTAACAACATATTTGGGAGATGACATGCCTAACGTGACTGAAACAATCCAGATATATGCTGTAGGGAATTAGCTAATGAAAATTATGACAACTATAAACCACAACCTTATGATATTGATAGAGAAAGAATTGAAAAAGTTACAATTTGTGTCAACCTTGGATGGGAGAATAGATCCAAATCCCTTTTTTGATTGGATAATGGACATGAAAAATTAAAATTTCATGGATAACACAATCTCCTCCTCTTATTCCACTCGGTTAGGGCACATGATGCCATGCTTAGCACTCATGAGCTCTTCTATGCGCTTGGAACTTGATCATTTCTCTGCGAGCCACGAAAATGCTCAGTCTTACCTTGTTTCTCTTCTTCTTTGTCCGCAGGCGATTGATGATGCATGTGAAAACCCAATTCGAGTCACTCGAGCTTCACAACTTTTGTGGTTGCTTGGCAGAACGTTTCCCTTCACGGAAAATTCCTTCCAACATGCTGCTTGCTTTTTTGCGCACTACTTTTATGCGGAAATGGAGGAACGAGGCGTCTCTTGAGTGTGGAAAGTAACTTGCTCTTATGGTTTTGGAATTTCCTGCACTCCTTTCTTCTTCTTCTTCCTCCTCTTCTTCCTTCTTCTTCTATTTTTCATGCTCTTTGTCGCTCGCTCCCTCTTGCTTTCTGTCACTTTCTCCGTCTCTTGCATATGAAATGAAGGGAAGAGATGAGGGAAATACTTCCTCTTCGAGTTGCGGCGGGTGTTGGAAGTCCCATTCGAATTATATCTACAGTGATAACCTTCCTTGTTGTTCTGGCAATTTCCCCCCTTCGCTTTGCTGCCACCATCACCCCTTGCTATCGCCCCACTATCCGGCCTTCCATTTGCATTTTACTTTCTCTCTGGAGGTCCAAACCCTCACCGATCATCACCACCACGCCTAGATCCACCATAGTTTGAGTGTTTGTGTCATGTTTGTTGTTATTTCTGTTTTAATTTGTGAGATTGTATTTCCCTATTTTGATATCAACAATAGTATTTGATTTTCTTATTATTGTTTGGGTTAACTCTGGTATCAAGATGTTTCTAACCATATCGAGCCGTGAGTTTCGAATTAAAAAACACCGGTAATAAAATTATGAAAATTAGAATACACAAAGTTGGTTGAAACATATAACCTCATTTCATAGAAGAGACGTAAATCAAATACATGCAATATTCACAAAACTGAATAAGAATTTTGAGTTTGTAAATATTAAATTAGGATAGAACTAGATTATTACTAAGTGTTTAAAGCCTCAAGTCAAAGTTTTAAATGCCCTAAAAATTGACTTCATTATCATCATCACTAATATGACATCTAATGAATCATCATGATATAGTAGCTCTATCTTCCTCCCAATCACTCTCATGTCGGTCATGCCATTCATCTTTGTTTTTTGTTATAGAAAATACTAAATATAAACTTGAATATTAGATATCTTGCATATTAGAAAGCTTGTATATTAGGTTACCTAATTAGGGGAGATATAATTTCAGATCTTTTCTATATTTGATTTGCTTCTAATTTGTAGAGAGGAGTGTCTATCAATATGCAACATATGATTTCAGTTGGGAAATAAGAAAGAAAGCTTTCCACTCATATTTTTTAATGCTCTCCCACTCTTTTCTTGCATCAAGATTATTATAATAAGACACTCATAATAAGAAAATATTGAATTTTAATTTGCTAGATTCAATTTTACATTTTCATGAGTTTGAGAAAGATAATTCTCACCCCTGCTGAGTGAAGGACCCAACTTGGCTCATCGGGCAATTGGAAGTGATGTCTCCAAAACGAAGACATTTTTTACTTTTTCTGACTGGGACTATAGTAGTTGTGCTACTCTTCTCAGGCTTCTCATTTGGAGTGACTCTGTCCTGTTTCTGACTAGCCCGTTCTACTCTCTGAGGCGTGCTCTTCTTAAGGTCTCCAATTGTTGTCGACTCTCTGATTGGTGGTGGTTGTCTGCTCTGCTTCTGCTATCTCTCCACTTTTAATGCTAAGGTTTGCAGATTCTTTAGTGCCCAACAAAGTTGCAGTTAGACCACGTTACTGTTGGAGGGCTTCTTACATCTCAAATACCTAGCTATGAGGTGCTCTTGCTCATTTGGCTTACACATCAACTTAAGCTGTATAAATTCTGCCATGTACTTCTCCACTAATAACTCATTCTGTTGGAGATAGTGGAGTTTCAAAAAAATATTCTGGCGGTTGTGTGGTGGTAGGTATTATCGCTACATTGCCTTCATTTTCTTCTAAGAAGTGATTTTGTCCCGTTCTATCTCTCCCTCTTCATATGCTCCCACAATAAAGAAGCATTCTTCAATTTGATGGCTGCGAGCTTCACTCATCTGCATTGATCATCTCCTTATATTCAAAGATCCACTAATAGTCTGCATCCACTCGAGTAATTCATGTAGATCCATTCTCCCCTCGAATGATCCACTATTATTCCCAGATCATCACATCCTCAAATAGACACATAATTTCTGTATCCTCTAATAGACATTTTATCTCTGTATATTCTAAGGGACTTCATGTCTGTATCTTCCAACAGACTTTGCATCTCCGTGTCTTCAACAAGTACGTCATCTCTCTATCATCCAATAGACACCTCATCTCTGTATCATCCAACATGTACTTCATCTTTGTATCTTCCGTCATGCATTTCATCTTTGTATCTTCCATCACACACTTCATCTCTCGGCCTCCTCCGATATTGTATTCCAAAGTGCTCTTGTGAATCGTTTTTTCCATTGAAATCATCCATGCGAAAAGGATTCAAATGTTCTCCTTGCTCTCCAAGGATTTCACTATTACGATCGATGTTGGTCTCGCCATGGATTCTTTCCTCAATGATATCGAGCCCTAATAGAACTTGGCGAATTCGCCATTGTATGCCGTCCATGGTAAATTCCTGATAAGATCCCATGTATTGTCTTGACGCAGACGTGGTTTAGGGCTTGATTGTAGATTGGTGGAAGGAGGTGTGTTGGGGTGATATGCGATGGGAAAGAAAAAAAAATTGGGTGGAGATAGAGTTGGGTATGGGCTTATGCTAGAAACTCTAGAATAGTAGTAGAGTTTGGTTAGCTCTAATACCAAATGACACCGAAGTTAACCAAAACAACAATAGAAAAAATAAATATTATTTATGACAAAGGTAATAGACAGTTATAACCCACACACTGAAAGGGAAATGCAATAATAACAAAAATAAATACAACTAAATTGTATCCCTTGTGTGGTGGATAGCGACATCTAAATTGTATCCCAAGTTATAACCCACACACGTAAAGGAGCAACAACAGTAAAACAACAAGGATAGCTAGTATGAGGCAACTACAACAGAGAAGTACGACATGAAGTGGTGGATAGCGATATGAGAAGGGGGCAGAATGGTTGGTTGGTGGAAAACAAAGTGCTCTTGTGAATCGTTTTTTCCATTGAAATCATCCATGCGAAAAGGATTCAAATGTTCTCCTTGCTCTCCAAGGATTTCACTATTACTTGTGAATCGTTTTTTTCATTGAAATCATCCATGCGAAAAGGATTCGAATGTTCTCCTTGCTCTCCAAGGATTTCACTATTACGATCGATGTTGGTCTCGCCATGGATTCTTTCCTCAATGATATCGAGCCCTAATAGAACTTGGCGAATTCGCCATTGTATGCCGTCCATGGTAAATTCCTGATAAGATCCCAGGAATTGTCTCGACGCAGACGTGGTTTTGGGCTTGATTGTAAATTGGTGGAAGGAGGTGTGTTGGGGTGAGATGCGATGGGAAAGAAAAAAAAATTGGGTGGAGATAGAGTTGGGTATGGGCTTATGCTAGAAACTCTAGAATAGTAGTAGAGTTTGGTTAGCTCTAATACCAAATGACACCGAAGTTAACCAAAACAACAATAGAAAAAATAAATATTATTTATGACAAAGGTAATAGACAGTTATAACCCACACACTGAAAGGGAAATGCAATAATAACAAAAATAAATACAACTAAATTGTATCCCTTGTGTGGTGGATAGCGACATCTAAATTGTATCCCAAGTTATAACCCACACACGTAAAGGAGCAACAACAGTAAAACAACAAAGATAGCTAGTATGGGGCAACTACAACAGAGAAGTACGGCATGAAGTGATGGATAGCGATATGAGAAGGGGGCAGAATGGTTGGTTGGTGGAAAATGCAGGAAAAACTTCCCAGGAGGGTTGTTTCTGGCGACAACAACAGGTTCAACAACAACGTTAGTGGAAGGACAAATGAAGAGGCGGGGAACGTTGAGGATAATCACTACCTCAGAAGGGGAAAACCTTAGGTACAGCCGGAGCACCACTTGCCCTTGGATACAATCTTGGATGGGGAAAACCTGGACGCCAACGGCTGTTCGGTTAGAAAACAAAAGCAAAACTCTGATCTAAACCACAATACAACGTATATATAGAAAATGATTAGAAAAAAATGAGGCAAAAGAAGGAAACTCGCTAAAAATTAGAACTGAACAAAATCCAGCTCGCTCATTCTGCTTTGTGCAGTTCCGTGAACTGGAGAACACACATTCGACTCCTGTAGCGAGAGACACCCGCATCAAATCTTGAAAAAGAAAACATTCTGCTCAAATTTGAAATAGGACTCACTTGCGATGCAAAAACTATCTAGTCTGTGATATTGCAGAATTAGCATAATTTGGATGGTTACGAAATTGTAGAATCTCTATATTCCGCAATATTGTGACTATTGTGTGATTGAGACCATGACATCTCATAATTCGGTTGCTACCACGTCACTTCTTAGGTAGGAGAGCTTTTCTTTCTATGCAGGTTTCCAGAATCGATCTACAATTACCATAACAATGTCATAGCCTTGTTATGTCTGAGTTCCATTACAAAATCTATACTTTCTTCCATTTCATGCTGCCTCCAAAACACGCATGTAATTCCAAAGTGTCCTGATAGAATAAATGATCATCATTTTATTTGCGCATCTAGAGATAAAACTGCGCATAGATGTAAATTCTTACGAACCAAATATTGAGCTATTAAATTTATAGCATGCTTCTCCCACTCTTTGTACTCGATTAGATTTGTAAATAAGTCTGACTGGAGGAATTAACTTTCGAAGGAAATCTATGACATGCTGGACCGCTATTAATAGCAGTGACTCAGGAAGTAATATGTTAGTTAGAACATTCGAAAACTCTCCCAGCAACGGTTGCTCCTTTTCTGGTATTAGCTCATCTAACTCACGACCTTCTAGTACAATTAATGATAGTCCTGCTAAAGTCTCTTTCATGAGATCAACATGAATCACTAGTATATTTTCCACATTAGCTAGAAGTTCATACATCTCTTTGATGTCTTCATCATCTCATGTCATTGTCTATTTCTTCAACTTCTCCCTGTGCAATGAATGAGATCATTATTTTGCTTGGGCAATCAGACATTTTGTGCCAAAAAATTATTGCACTCGAAACAATTTTTTTGCTCGGCTGGGTTTAGGAGTACTAACAGTCCACCTTTTCT